TCCTGCCGCCCACATGCTCTGGAGTGTGGGAAGGTCAGGCCACCATTCTCAGCCCAAGTTGTCTCTCCCTTAAATGAAGTTTGGACCGCAGCCTGTGAGAGAAGCGCCAAGTGGGGGTGGTTTCTCAGACATCTGTTCACACCTGAATCCAGTGACTCCTACGCAGGGGAGCCTCAGGCAGCATCCACCGAACCACAGAGACAGTGTGGGCTGGTGGGCAGAGAGACTGAGCGTGGCATCCCCACGGAGATCCTCAGACTGACCGAGAGCGAGAATCCCAGGGATACCATCGGCGTTAAATTTTATATAAGATGGTGGTGACTCTGCCCTGCTTGCATAGTTTGTAACTATGACTACTGATTGAAAGGTTGGTGGTTCAAATCCAGTAAGCACCCCATGGGAGAATGCCAGGTGATCTCAGGTAAGGGTTTGTACAGCCTTGGCAGTGGCTTGGTAATGTGACCCTTCTCCTGGTTATTGCTCCTTAAATGAGAACACTCTATCCCTGGCCTCAGAGACATCCCTGAGTCCGTGGAGTGCGGGAGCCCACGACCCCTCTTTCAGGAACAAGGAACCCCAGCTGCAGGTCAGATGGAGTTGGAACCTTTGATGGGGTTTCAGAGTCTGCAGGATTTTGAAGGGGTCTCGGGAAATTTCCTGGGCTGTATCAGGGGTCCTTGCATTACCCGTTAAGGGCATCGATCCTTGAGATGAGTCTTCATTTGTCCTGAGGCTGAGAGAACAGCGCACCTGTGGTCAGAGCGAGTCCACACCTGGATAGTGGCCTTCCAGGCTCTGTGCAAACTCCCATGGCTGAGGTGCAAACACACACTCTGAAAGTCTCCAGAGGGCACACAGAGGTGTCCAGGAAGTCAGCCAGGATCCCAACGCCTGGATCTGAGCAGCATCAAAGGGATCCTGGTGCAGACACGCCCCAAGCTACTTTCTGACAGTGGAGGACACAGGCCCAGGCCATGAAGGGATCACACACACACACTAGCCTCATCCTTGAATGCTGAGAGTTGAGGCTGAGAGAGAGCCACGAAGTTACAAAGCCTCTCCATGAGCAGAATCTTTCCCCAGACTGTGGCCCTGTAACCACCCAACCCACTGTCCGATTGCCTGGAGCCCTGGCTCTTAAATGACCTGCAGCTCTGATGACCTCACCTGCCTCCCCCCAACAGCTGTAGCCCTAGCCCTGGAGACCAGGACACCTCCCCCCATGCAAGCTCTCAACCCCTGCTTTCCCGATACTTAACAGTTCCATCACCACTGACTCACAGCTGACCCTTCAGCTCATTTTCTGAGGCTGTAAACCACATGGGAGGAGACTGCACATCTTTCTCCCGTGCAGCAGCAGGTAAACCGTCTACCTTTGGGTTTGCAGCACAACTCTATCCATTAGGCCACCACATACCTGTTACTTACTGCCCTTAACCTGCCCAACTGATTGACTGCACTCCTCTCTCTCCAACTCCTATACCCCCGGCACTTCGGACTCCTGTCCACCTCAAATGCCCTTCTGTTACTCTGCCCTGGGCTGATCATCCTCACAGGCTGGGCACGTGTAAACCCCGGGGCCCCTAAGAAAAACTCCAGAGCCAGTTCCCAGGGCCCCTGCCCAGGCGCAGCACCTCCTGCTGGCGGCACGTTTGCAATGCACATGCTCAGTGGTCCACTCGTTGACAGGTGTGCAGTACACAGGAGCAGGGAAGTCCTAGCTTCCATGAGAAAAGCTGGCTTGTGAAGGATACTGAACACAGGTGAAGGTCAAGGTTGAGGACTGGCCAGGACAGCATCTATGCAAACAGGAGTCCCCTCCCCTCCCCTCCCCCTCAGGGTGACCAGGACGGAGAGGGCCTGCAGGCAGATCAGAGGCCTGGCCTGGCTGGGAGCAGAAAGGAAGCCGAGAAGGAAGAAAGAAGAAGGATGCACACAAATTAGTCCCACGAACCCAGACTGACATCACCTGGTTTTCAGATGCTCAGGCCCAGTCCCCTCAGTTTATGGTCCTGCCTTCACGTCTGGAAGTGACACCAGCCTGGCATCATGCTTCGCCATCAGTGATCTCCAGGTGCGTAGTATCACACAGGTGTCAGAAATGCCAACTGGTAGTCAGCTAATAGCCATCGACCCGGTTATGGTTGTTGGAGATGTTGTCCGCTTGAAAAGGACAGGGGTGCGGGGTGGCCCCCATGGAGCCCACTGTGGGGACTTCCTCCTCTCTCCATCACTGTCCACTCACTAGGGACTCCCTGCATCCCTTTGCAGGGCACCATCTGAAATATGACAGAGTGGTCCAGCTCTCTTCCGCTGGGAAGGGCTGACTCTCCTTTCCGTAAGTGATGCCGGCTGACTAGCTATGTTTGCTAGACCGAGGAGGCTGGGACTGAGAGGCACGAATCCACGGCTAACGCAGAGTGGGAGCTGCTGGCTGAACCGCAGTTCACTCAGATCACCCCTGAGGGCTCTAGAGCAGTGCGCTACCTCAGTGACACTGAAGGAGAGTGATTCCACTGCAGAGCTAAGCCCATCTCGGAGCCAGGAGAGCAGAGAGGGGAGTGTGGACAGCTGCCTGTTGGGACTGAGACTTACTGCTGCCCCAGGGAGTGAGAGCCAAAGGGAGGAGGTGCGGGACCTCCCTAACATTGGGTGATAAACAAAGGCTCCCTCAGCAGGGGCTTCTGCAACTTGCTTGCTTTCATTTCTGAATAGAAGCTTCCTGGGAAATGCCACTTCATTGACACTCTTGCCGCAGGTCCACCTCAGACTTACTTAGCAGGGGGACAAAGGAGGTGATTTCTCAGTGCCCACCAACCCTCAATCACAAGTCAGTACTTAACAGTCTTCTAAATGAGCGTGACTGTTAGGCAGCTGCTGTATTCAAACACCAGGCACGCCTTTACTGAGTGCCGAGAGCCTTCTGGCATCAAAACAAACAGAACCAAATGCATTTCTGTGAGGAGTCCAACTCATGGAGACCCTATGTTGTTGTTGTTGATTGCCTTCGAGTCGAGCACAACTCATAGCAACCCTGTGAACAAAAGGCCTGAAGCCCCGCTACAACTATCAACATTTATCAAAGTTCATAAAGTTTCCGGAGGCATGTTGTTTAGGAAGTGGATGTCACTCCTGCTTCCAATAAAAGCGTCCCATGGGGTACCCAAGGCTGTAATCTTTATGTTAGCAGCCCTCCACATCTTTTTCCCCCTAGCCAATGGTGGGTTTGAACTATCACCTTTTTGGTTAGTAGTCACACCCCTAACCCCTGTGCTACCAAGGGCACTGCTGACATTCACAGACACAAGGAACTTCAATGCTCTTCAGGACTATTTGGTTCGAGTGAGAGGGCAGTTGGCTGGCTCTGCCAGCTCTCTAATTAGTATACTTACCTCTTCCTACCCTGTTTTGCATGACTGATGCTACGTGGCTGGGCTGGGGGAGTCTAGTCAGCTCCCAGTTGTGGGTTTGTCACATTGTCACCATCCTAGTTGTGACATTTCCCATTGAGAACTTCCTTTACCATCAGGAGAGAAGGTGCCACTGGGTTGGCAGCACAGCTCTTTACTACTCGGCCACCAGAGTTCCCCAGGGGTGACACATTTTGTTGAGTAGCATCGAGTCAGAACCGATCCATAGTTGACTCTCCAGTGGGCTTTCAGTGGGTTAAATG